AGTGGGAAAATGAAAAAAAAAGAATGGACGACAGTAGATGGAGTGAGGGAATCAGATTACTCTAATAAAAACAGATACTACACTTTGATCTTAGCCATAAGCCCGAAGGTATTTTTCAGTGCGACCACGTCGCTACTGTATGTGACACAAGGTCGAAGATTAAAGTGATTTTAAAGGCAATACCTGGTAGACTTTAAAAAAGAAAGATCAGTTTAATGTGGCGAACCCGGGCAAGTGCACCTGGGCCAGGATCCAAAATCTGTATAACTACTGGTCTTTCCTCTTTAGTGTAATGACAGAAGCATTGCGGCGCGTAGCTGTTTCACGAGGCCGGCCACCTCCGAAGACAGAGACACAACTGAGTGATGAAATGTAGTTTATTCGCCTGAGAGTCTCAACGAAGTAGCCGAGAAGCTACGCGACCTCGATTAAAATGACATTTTTCAGACGCACAATATCGAATGAAGAAGACAGATTAATGCAATCGCTAAAAATCCAGTTAATGTCTGTTGAATTATTTTTTTTTAATTATTATTAAGATAAATCTTTGTAAGGCGGTAGGATGGCTAGAAATAAAGAAGATGAAAGTCTTTAACTTTTCTTGTCAATAACTCATAAATTATGGACGAATCAATTTTGATTAAATAGAAAAAACAAAAATAGTCTGATTGGTGTCAGTTAGAAAATGAAATAAAGAAAGATAAACTAGAAGCGTTTAAATTCTGTTTCAGTAAAATAGAAAAAAAGTTGTCAGTTTCAAATCTTTTCATTTGTATCCCCTTACTTTTAAAATTAAGGATAGTTTATGATTGTCGTTGCATTAATTTGTTAAAGTTGTTGAGCTCAAATAGTTAATAATGCAAGAGTGAATTTCCACGGATATTTTATTGTTGAACTGGGCATACGCTTATTGAGCTTATCATTAACTTAATTAAGATTCATCATAAAATCCAAATAGGAGAACTGTGGAAATTTTCTGGGTCATTCTAGGGTATATAAAATATATAGAGGTGTGGCCAAAAACGTGTTATCACTTGGTAAGACACCAGAAGTGTTGAAACAAAATGTCTATTTTTGTAGTGATTTTATAACATATTTACGTTATAATTCGAATAAATAATTATATTTGCTCTACTCTGTATTGAGCACTCTTTTAGGAATAGTGTTTTTGGTTATTGGAATTTATTCCGTATACACCAATCCTATAATAAATATAGCACACACGAAAACGATGTATATATATATATATATATATATATATATATATATATATATATATATATATATATATATATATTCCATCATCCAACAAATACTATTCTTAAAAGAGTGCTCAATACAGAGTAGAGAACTATGGATTATTTACCTAACGAGTAATATATATATATATATATATATATATATATATATATATATATATACAGAGTCTTCCGCAAATAGACTGTTTCCCTGAATCACAGCTCATGAGTGTAGATAGATGTCCTGTTGCCTCTAGCTCGGATCGAGACTCAGCTGAATTGGCGAACGACATGGATGAAGGTGAATTTAAGCGTATTTATTTTTAAATAAACACATAATGACTGAGAGAACTCGATTCGTTTTACCGAAGATTCTTGCATTATTAGCAATAGTAGTCACTGTTTACAAACTCACACTTCCTATATATATATTGCGTATTTATACAGCTATCCCTCCTTTATACAAATTTGGTTAAAAATGACTGACAAGATAGTCTTAAGAAAATCAATTCCTTTTCTTTGTCTTCAGCTAAAACAAAACTATCTTCTATATAGCGGACGTATAATTGTAGGATTTAATTTTTAGCTATTATTATTTGTTGTCAAACAGTGTTTCTTCTGGATGTTGTAGGGACACGAAATGTTGTAGTGAAATCCAACATTTATATATCCACTATGTATATAATATTTTTTATATTCTTTTAAATGAAGACAAAATGGTAAATGATATACAGTTGGTTTAGTTGTCTTCATGTAAACCTCACTGTTTCATCTTTCTCTCTTTTATCTTACTCTCTTTCTCTCCTTTCTTTATTCCTCCTCTTTCTATTTGCCTTTTTTTCTGTTTCCAATCTTAGTTTTTTTGGAACTCTAAAATCAATACACAAGAGAAAACGTTTTTTGTTATAAAGAGATACTGGATACGTTAGCACATGTTTAGACTTATAAATATTTATATACATATATGTATATACTATCCTATACGCAGTAAAACCTGTGGCCACATTCTAAAAAGTACATGTTTATACCCTCTGATGAAAGTATATATATATATATATATATATATATATATATATATATATATATATATATATATATATATAATAAACTTAGAATGCGTTTAATTATATGTATGTGTGTAGATACGTACATGCACGTAAATAATTTCATGTAGGAGTTAGTTTTATTTTGCTTGTGTCTAAAAGCGAGAATCGGGGCGATGCTTTTGATGCAATTGGATTTGTATACTGTTTATGTTCTTGCCTCTGAGTCACCTATTTTGTTCTCAAAGACCCTTTATGAGTCATATTACACTCAAAGTGCATTTGAATTCACTGGGGTTCAGTTTTCTGGTTCAGCATAGCTGTCTCTCTCTCTCTTCCGCCGACATTATTTCTCTGTTCCTGATTTCGTTTTCTCTTTCATTCTCAATCTCAATCTCTGACACATAAGATTCAATCCTTTGTTTTTTCTCTCTAGTCTTTTGCTTCATGATTTTTTTCTACCTTTCTTTAAAATCTTGTAAATAAATTTCGTTTACTTTTTTTACTCTTTTTCGTTTATTTTGTTTCTTTTTCCTCTTTAATCGTTATTCTTTGCATATTTCTGAATTTCATTTTCCTTCTTTTGCTCATTTTCCTTGTCAGTCTTTTTTCTTCAATTCTTTTTCTCGCCTTTCCCTTTTTTTATTTTTTTACTTTTTGTCCGTCTTACTTTTCCCGGTTCTGCTTCTTTCTCTCGTCGCATTTTTTTTCTTTCTTTTTTTTATTTCAGTTTCTTTATTTTATTTGTTGCTTGTACTCTCTCTGGTCTTCGTTCTTTTTTTTTTCATCTGCACTTTTTTTGTTTCTTTTTCGCTATTCATCATTTTCTTTTTTGATCCCTTTCCTTGATTCTTTTTACATCCATTTATTATTTCTCTTTCTTATTTCTTTTTGTTTCTTTTTTGTTTGTTTCTCGTTTCTTTATTATTTTCTCTTTATTGTTTCTTTTTGGGTTTTGTTTCCTACTTTCTTGTTGTTTCTCTTTCTTATTTCTTTTTGTTTCTTTTTTGTTTGTTTCTCGTTTCTTTATTGTTTTCTCTTTATTGTTTCGTTTTGGGTTTTGCTTCCTACTTTCTTGTTTCTTTTTCTTATCTCTTTTTGTTTCTTTTTCTTATTTCTTTTTGTTTCTTTTTTTGTTTATTTCTCGTTTCTTTATTGTTTTCTCTTTTTTGTTTCTTTTTTGGGTTTTGTTTCTACTTTTTTGTTTCTTTTTCATTTCTTTTTGTTTTTTTTTGTTTATTTCTCGTTTCTTTATTGTTTTCTCTTTTTTGTTTCTTTTTGGGTTTTGTTTCCTACTTTTTTGTTTCTCTTTCTCATTTCTTTTTGTTTCTTTTTTGTTTATTTCTCGTTTCTTTATTGTTTTCTCTTTTTTGTTTCTTTTTTAGGTTTTGTTTCCTACTTTTTGTTTCTCTTTCTTATTTCGTTTTGTTTCTTTTTTGTTTGTTTCTCGTTTCTTTATTATTTTCTCTTTATTGTTTCTTTTTGGGTTTTGTTTCCTACTTTCTTGTTGTTTCTTTACTCGTTTCTTTATTGCTTTCATTTCTCTTTTTTATGTTTCTTTTTAGTTTCTATTTTCGTTTCTTTATTGTTTCCATTCCTCGTTCCTTTTTGTTTCTTTTATCGTTTATTTAATTTTTCTCGTTTTCGTTTCTTTTTTGTTTCATTTCTCGTTGCTTTATTTTTTTCCTTTCGCGTTTCTTTTTGTTTCTTTTTTGTTTCATTTGTCGTTCCTTTCTTGCTTTTCGTTTATTTTGTTTCTTTTCTCGTCTCTTTACTCTTTCATTTTCTCGATTCTTTATCTCGCCTATTCATATTGCTTATTTTTATGCTGTTTCCTCTCTTAAAGTCCTAATCTCTTTTTCTTCTTTTACCCGTCACTCTCTTGCTTCTTTTTTTTTTATCTTTCACTATTCGTCTTTCTTTGTCACGTTTCGTTTCTTCTTTTTTCCTTGTGTGTTTTTGTCGTTTTCAGCTATTCGATGAGATTTCTGTTTCTATTTTCAAGAAGGTATAGGAATTAAACCCTAAATATATTTCTCAACCAATAAATCTCACCGGAAAATTTGTTTGACAAACAATAGCTCCTATGACAAATGCTGCTAATTGCGGATGTAATTGTAAACCTACCACCTGAAATTTTGGGTCATTTAGAAAATAATAATAACTAATTTCACTATTCCCGCAAATTCGAGAAAGAGATTTTCCTTCTCGTAGATGGACTGCCTTCCTGAGCTGTCGAGCTCCGTCTACCCGAATCAGATGATTATGAGGCGCCTGTTTTCCGCTTTCGCCAAATCTCTGGCTTAGAGATAGACTTAGTTGTCAGAGACTTTTTGCGATGAATTCTCGTAGATCCTTCTTTCTTGTCCAATTTCTTATTAATTTTTATAATCTCATTCATGTTTCATTTATTGTTTATTCTATTTATTTTCTTCTGGTCCTGCTCACATTTCTTTCTTTTACTAACTAATTATTCTTTTTTTATATTACTTCTAATTCCTCTTTCTTCTATTTCTCCTCACTTTCTTATTTCTTTTCGTTGTATCTAGTTTATTCTAATACATTTTTCTTTTCACCTAGAACAATTCCTCTTTCTTGCTTTTAATAATTTCTTTCATTCTTTTTTTCCTTTTTTTCATATTTCTTGATTCGTATTAATTTTTCATTACATTTTCTACTTTTCATTTTTTTCTCTTTCAATTTTTGTTTTCTGATTTTCATGTCTTTCTTTTTCATTTTTTCTTCTTCTTTTCCACATTTTTTATCTTTTCTAATTATTCTTTTTTTCGTTCCCTTTTATGTCTCTTTTCTTTTTATTATCTCTTTCTTGTTTATCTTTTATGTTTCTTCTAATTCCTCTTCCTTTTCTTTTTTCTTTCTATTTCCTACTTTTTTTTTTACTCTTTTCTGTTTTCTTCGTATCTCTTGTTTCTATTTCTTGTTGAGCTTTGTTTCCTTGACTCGCATCTTTTAACTAGCATTTCCCTTTTTCCTTCTTTTTTATCCTCCCCTTGTTTATATCCCTTGTTTCTTCACACTTCCTTTTTTTCTCTCTTCGTTTGTTTTAAATTTCTTCTTCTTAATGATACTTCCTTTCTTCTTGATGTATATTATTTACCTTTTTATTTTGTTCCATATATTAAACAGTCATTCTTTTACCTTTCAGGTTAAATCATATTTCATGAACCGTCTCTCCATTATTGAGAGCATCAGTCATTTTCTCCTATACAGTAGTAGCAGGCCTCCATTTATCTCGTGTGATAAAGATAGCGCCCTGTCTGGTCAAAATTCAGTACTTAGTTGGTTAAATATGAGTGACCTCTCCAGTGTGATAGACTGGGCGATGTCATATGGAGGACGTGCAATGTCCAGACTACATGTCCACCCCGCAATCTCGATCGTGGCGATAGGATTCAATTTAACACAGGGGATTACATTTGGAAACGGCTTGACTGCAGATCTTGCCACAATGTTGGAAGTGTTGACAGTAAGTCGCATTTGGGGTTCCACTCCAGGTTTTCTGTAGGGATTTACTTCCATATCCTTTGCCGTGTCTGTATATAGCCGCAAATTAGCGGAGGTTTAAAATCAGGGTTGTCCTTCCTCTAGATGGACTGCTTTCCTGGACATTCGATCTCCATCTAGCCGAATCAGCTGGTTATGAGGCGCCAGTTTTCCTCCTTTGACCATTCTCCCGATAGGAGCTGGGCTTAGTTGTTAGAGGCCCTATGAGTCCTATACCACGGAAGCATTTCATAGATAGTGGGAACTTGCCACCACTATCACTCCAACCACGACAACCTTTGAAACATTTATAATAGATGTATAAAAATGTACATACATTCAGTGTTTTAGAAGCTAAAAATAATGTTTTGTTTTTAAATATATAATATATTAGGTAAACAAAAACGATAGAAAGACAAATTAAGAAATATTACATGAATAAACAACGAAAATATCGAAAGATTTATAAATGAGAAATTGAAAATAAAATTCTTCAGAAAATTATTAGCAGCCAGCATCTCTGGTAAACAGAATGGCGTCAATAGTAGGAATTTGTAGACGACACAGAAAAAAACAGGATCTCGTTAATTTGTCGTGATTAATGCCGAGCAAACATCAGAAAGAACTCAACTGGTCCCAGCTGACAATGACATCTTGTGCAGATGAGTTAATGCGAGACTCACGTTTGCCCTCGAGACGAGCATTGACAGTTTATCGGCGGACAGACAGAGATACATTATTTGTTTAAAGTGCGTGGGACAAGCTTGCTACAGTCTGTCTCGAAATAAAATAATTAGAAAAAAAAACTGTGGTGTCGTACTTATAAGGAAAAAAAAAATAAAGGCGCTTACAGAGTGATATGTTAGTTTTCAGTGATAGATGTTAAATATATGAGTATCGAGGGTTTGGTAGGGTGGAGTTTGTAGACTCGGAAAAGGGAAAGTTTAAAAGAACGTGGATTACAAACTAATCGTAAGGAAAAAATACAACAAAGGAAGCGTAGTCACACATATACACAGAGTTTGCGACGCATGGAAAAAAAGAGTTAAGTGTAAATCATTGGAAAATAATTTGAAATATATCAGACGGTAAAAAGGTTTAAAAAACAATAAAGTTGGCACAGTGGACTAAATAGAGAAACTAGACAGAATATATCGGCGTCTAAGGCAATTGTTTGTATAAACCAACCCAAACTTTTTTTTTTATTAAATTCTTGCTTTAGTAGATGTCTATATGTCGAATGCTTTTTTCAAAACTACGGTTGCGATCTTACTATTTCAACAAGAATTTTACGTCGCAAAACGTTCAATTCGAAGAACACGTCACACTGTGTATCACCAAACTATTGTTCACTTCCGTTTCGCGAAACTTAGATTTCCCGAAACGGAACTGAAGAATATCTGACGCCAAATCGAGTCTGTTGCTAATTATGATCTGGTGTTGATCGTGCTACCCTGGATGGTAAGTAAAAACCAATCGTATTAAATAATCGACAGACATTGTTATGCCTAGAATTATGAGTAAAATTCTTGGATATTTAAATTTTAGAAAATTAATTTTAAATTATAGCGAAAACAGAAATGAAGAAAACTACAAGAGAGGCCATGACAGTCGAATGACGAACACCTTATTCTAAGAAACCAGTAGACTGTGTACAGTTTAAATAATAATAAAATAATATCCATAGCAACCTGTGAAATATTTGTGGGTACAAACATCTTTATTTGATGAGGCAGATTTATTTTACTTTGAACCATATTAATTTCTTCTTTTTCAGGACATAGACGATCATGGTACTCTACAACTTCCTATTTCGGGTGCTTCTCTTGTACGAACATAGATATGGACATTTTGAATGGTGGATGGGTAAAAAAATGTTTCAGCCCGAATCACTTTCTGAAATCTGAGCAAACACTAGAACATACCATTATAATTACCCTTTCTTTGAGCTGAGAACATTACATCAACCCCATTTCGATAGCGCAGATACCAGAATAAATTGTTTTTCAGGCGGATGATTTACTTTTATTCAAAAAAAATATTTGTTATAACTTTGTCATATTAAGAAAGGCGTCAATAAAATTGAATATATATATATATATATATATATATATATATATATATGTGTGTGTGTGTGTGTGTGTGTGTGTGTGTGTGTGTGTGTGTGTAAAATATATAGAAAATAGGAAAGAACTCGTTAGGTAAATAATCCAAAATCCTTTAGTATTTTTGTTATTATTTTTAAAAATTAGTGCTCGATACAAAAGTAGAGCATAAATATAATTATTTATTTGAAAATATGATTCCAACGCTACATAAGAGTTCTCATGTTTCGAAACAAGAGCTGAAAAACAATATAATTACTTGAATTAAATTGAATTAAAGTACCAAGCTCTCTCTCTCTCTATATATATATATATATATATACACTCTCCCGTCGAATTCGACGTATGAGTGTCAAGGAGATCAGTTCCCAGGAAACTGACAGCCCGACAACAGCACATGAGATTTGATTATAGTGGTGAAGGTTTCGTGCAGGACCATCCACACTTTTTGAAGGGCTGAATACAGTGACCTGGTGCACTACGTGCCACAAGGTCATAAACGACCCTCCGCAGGTTTTGAATTCAGAGTTTTCCATCTCCTAGACCAGTTGCCATCCAAGGCTATAGAACCCAGTCTGTCCCGCTATATATATATATATATATATATATATATATATCATTCATGACAGTACTGATTCGCTGTATCATAGCTCCTGAGTGAGATTAGATAACGGAATGCTCAAACCCGGATCGAAAACCAACAGATTTGGTGTCAGTCAGAGCTTCTACCACCTTCACTCGACAGAATGAGTCCGCCAAATCTAGCGTATTGTTTTTTACAAACGTAAGCAAACGCCAAGCAGCCATAGTTCTCTATTCATATTAATGAAGAGCTTTGCATTTACGCAGGTGACCTTTATGTTTGTGTGTGTGTGTGCGCGCGTGTGTGTATTGATGGGCACTTCAACAGTCTCACCTGTAAACGATCATGTAAGAGTCAGGTTAGGCTGAAGTGTCAGAAAGTTGCACATTTTTGTGCGAGGTTCAATGAAGAGTAGGTATTCTTCGTTTATGAGAGTGCAATCATCGTGTCTATGTTTAGATAAATGTATATGTGTGTGTATATCTCAAAATAAGTAATAGAAATAGTAAGATATGAAAAGAAATAGAATTAATGAATATTTTTTGAAATAAGGAAAAAAATTGTCATCAGCAACTGAGCGTTCAGTATATATATATATATATATATATATATATATATATATATATATATATATATATATATATGTGTGTCTGTGTGCATATGTGTGTGCCTAAGTTTCTGTGACTTCTAACATGAGAAAATATAAAATTGTTAACAAAATGAAAAAAAAAAAAGAGAAAGTTAAAATTATTAAAATTCCGGGAGAAAACCTTTGTATCATTTAAATTTTGGAACGTAACGAAAGAAAAAGTAGAATAAAAAAGTAAATGCCCTCCAACACAGTATTTCCTACAATCAATGCAAAGTGTGAACAAGGACGAACTGAAAAGAAATTTCTGAAGAAATTTGTAAGAGATGGCCAAAAGATGCAACGTAGCTGATCAAATGGAGTTGTTATAGCGCGAAATAAAAAAGAAAAATAGAAATGTTGAGGGCTATTTGAAGTGATAATAGGAGCCCGTGATTATATCTGAAAGCAGGAAATCTCGACTTTTCACGTTATCCCGCGAGACTGACATTAAATTCTTTCTTTGTCATTTCAAAGAAAAACGCAAGTGAATTGTTCAGTTGTCATACACTTCCCTGAGATCTACGAATTTGTGACCGCACCAAGACACATCCTGCATATATATATATATATATATATATATATATATATATATATATATATATATATATAAAGAGATAGAGATGGGGAGAGTTTTCTAAAGAGAATTATAAAGCACTACACGCACTTATCATCATTTCATTCATTCTTTATCTCAAAAGAAAAATTAAATCGATTATTGTAGCAGTTCCACATCAATTTATTCAAACAGATTACCTTAAAATCACAATCGAACTTAGGAAAATAATATAATTTCACATGAAACTGTAAATCAGAGATTTTCACATCGGTATAAATCTGCCGCTTGTTGTACACGTGTGAATTCATAGGTTGCTGGGTTATGTGAGTATTAATGAAATCGCCAAGTTAGCTCAGGAGCATTTGATTTCCTTACGTAGAGGCCAACATCAAGCGAATATTAAAGAAAATTATGTCTGTGATGTTTTTATTAACAGAGGACTCAAAGAGCGACACCGAAATCCGATGTCGCATTGCGATAATGTAAGATGTCTTCCAAAAACTAAGCAAAGTATATGTCAGAGAATGCTACACAATCTCATCACAAATGAAGCAAAAACTTCCAGAGACAGAAATGTGTTTCGACAGAAAGAGGCTGAGTATAACGTAGCTGATCAAATTCAGTTGTTATAGCGCGAAATAAAAAATAAAAAATAAAAATGTTGAAGGCTATTTGAACATATGAACAATAACGAAGTTTTAGAGAAAATGGAAGCAAAAAGATATACTTAAATCGGAAAGAGACAATTGAACATTCTAGTTCGGATAATGAGGAAAAAAGGCTTAGGAAATTTGACACTCATAAGACAATTTGAAGGCAACTGTGAGCGGGTAAAGTAGTGCATAACTTAA